GCGCATCTACTCTTCGATATCATCTATATTCTTTTTAAAACCATATTCCAAGTCACATGCACATCCCTGAATTAAATCTGATTCGATCAAAATCCTCTCTGTCCAATAGTCTTCTTCACGGTTCCCTGCGCCATCTTGAAAGGTAGCCGTGCCTTTGCATCGAAGCGAGACGACCGTTGAGYTTGCAATGATAGAAACCTTCTTTCACACCTACAGACAATTATTCACAGATATCTATCATTGCACGCTCAAAGGTTTTCTCGCTTCGATGTCGTAAAGGCACGGCTGCTTTTCGAGATGGCGCAGGAAACCGTGAAGGAGACTATTACCACTGAAGTTCCCTATTTTGGAAAAGTACACTATATTCTTTGACATGCGTGTTCTTTTTGTTTTCAAGAGCAATTCTCAATCGAAAATCAGCAGGCAGCCACTGATGATCGCAAAGGGGGATGTCTTTTCGTGGAAAGCAAGAACAAGAACACATACGTTAAAGTTACTGGATGTAATGAAACTGACGAGAGACAGATATGGGCATATACTTTGAAAGGACAATTAATGGTTTGTATCATTATCATCATTATCATCATCATCATCATCATTATCACATCATCATCATTACCATCATCATCACCATCATCATCATTATCATCATTATCATCATTATCATTATCATCATCATCGTCATCAGCATCATTATCATTATCATTATTTTTTAGAATACCTGGACTCGTCTGTGTATCGACACCAATGGCGCTTCCGCCGGAAGTAAACTGATTCAAACCACTTGTAATCCAAGTCGAGACGACCAGAACTTCCAATGCGACTTGGTAGTCAGAACAGTAAAGAGACGACGTGTTGATATGTGCTGGCAAACAGGTAAGTTTATAATTGATGATCTCCTTGCGATTAATTTCTTACAATCCCATTGCATTGGATTTGATGCAATATCAAAGCGCACAGAAGACTATCCAGGGCATCGTCGCGCGTGCACAAGGAACGCCTGGTGGATTCAATGAAGGCACCATCCCATCATTCAGCACGCGCATTATTATTGTTGTCTAGAAGAAGAATTCGATAGTCCACTGCGCGAAAGGCAAAATTTAATCGTTTAACTTAAAATATGTGACAGATTGTACGGTAAATTTCCACTTTTACTCGTTCTATTTCGAATTTAATATTGTGAGAAGGAAAATATCCTCAGCTTGCGATGCTTTGTGGGATGGTGCCTTCCTTCAGTCTAAACCGCGCTCTGATTGGCTAAGATCAAACACGTGATCAACTGGCCGATTGTCTAGTAAGATAAGTGATAGAGCTCTTAAAATATCGCAAACTGGTAGCATTACGATCAAAAAGATATTACCAACTCCTTCAATGTACAGGTAGAGTTGGTCTAAACGGTCCAGGATCTCTCGTTCATCTTGGTTCTTTGAAGTGTATTCACGTCTCAGGAGGTGGGCATGGAGTACCAGGCGATGGCACGAAGCTTGTCATCCATGCTGGCTGCAACGAGAAGAGGTGAGCAATTAAGTTTAAAAGCTTTACATGTAAACAAACGAGCCATCCTCGGGAAACCAGGGGTAATCTTCTGTCGTTCGTTCATCGATATTTCAATGAGGATCACGGCTGTCAGAATGTAATTCAACCAACAACTTTGTTTCATAGTTTATTAAATTAACGTGACGTTTTACAGGATTTTTTCTTAGTGACAAATTAACAAACTTAACTCATTTTCGTTTTAGGCTTGAGTTTGCACTAGAGAATGGCATCTTAGTCCACAAAGGAAGCGGTAAATGCGTCGCGCCAATTGGAAGAATCTATGACGGCGCAAGACTTGGTTTATACAGTCATTGTTCAGCACATAAGTTTAGTTTCACGAAAGGAGGATCACTACAACACGTTGGTAGCAGAAAATGCATCAATGTCAAATCACTGGTAAGAATGACGTCATGTTTGTTGTGGTGTAGTGCATTATGGGTATTCCTCGTTTTCACGATACGTCACAGCGGCCATCTTGGAGGAACTTCAACAAAAGATTTCTTGTTAGTATCTATTGTTCATTCTCCAACATGGCCGCTGGTATTTTATCTTTTGAATCTCGTATGGGAATAGTTGAAAACGATCAATTGATAAATTTAAAGCAATATCGCGGATGCCTTGTAGAAACTATGCGGTTTACCAAGATTTTTTTACGAATTTAAATGTTTATATCCAAGTTGTTTAGAGTGCTATGGAAGAACATTAAATGAGATGGCTGAACACTAGTAGTGCAAGTACTTTGCGGAAAATGTCAAACGCGCTTCAAATTCAAGGAAAAAACGAACAAATGTTAGTTGTTAAAATATCAACTGTTGGAGATATATACGAATGCTACTCTGACAAAATCTAGTGAGGAGAATATCTGCGTATCCTTCTTCTAAGTTAAGATCTTATTGTCAGTCTTGTAGCACTATTTTTTGTGCAAACTATTTGCAATCCTGTATCTTCTTCACTGAATTGCTGAATTCTTTATTTCTCCTGCAGTCTGCAAAACCAGCAAATGGCGAGGATATCATTCTWCACAGYCACTGCGAGAATACTGACCAATCACTCGAGAAAGAAAGGCTACGATTTAACTTTATTCCAAGTAAGTTCGCTGTAAACTCCTCGCCTGCCCGCCTGCCTATCCTTGACATCCTCCTACCCGCCCGCCTGCTCGCCTGCCTGCCTATCTTTGACATCCTCCTGGCCGCCCGCCCGCTCGCGTGCCTGCCTTTCTTTGACATCCTCCTGCCCTCCCGCCTGCTCGCCTGCCTGCCTTTTTTTAGTCCTATACAGTAAGATGCATGGGCTTTGAGGCGATAATGGAGATCTCACGATACAATATGAGCGTATAGTTTCTTAATGCAATGTTTTATACTATAGCTGATCCATACGTCAGACTTGCTAAATGCACCGACTTTGGAAATCCACGACTCGACCAGCGCTTTGAGGTCGAAGATGAACCCATTGCAACAGTGTGCTCCAAGTATGCTAAAAGTAAGTTCAATAAATTTGAATTGTTAGGCAACTTGTACTTCATAGCAAGTGCTCTGTCCACTCTATTTTCATCTCTTTTCTAGATATTGCTTACAAGAAGAAGACTTATCAATCTAGCACGGCGTACAACGGGTACAGCGATCGCGCCGTCGATGAGAACTTCAACTCAGACTATAATCAAAAATCTTGTACGCACACGAAATCAGAGAACAATCCATGGTGGAAGGTCGATCTCGGCTCTGAACACATTGTTACAGGTATAACTTAATAAAAGAATATTCGGCAGTATAAGATATAATAATATATAGAACGCATTCAAGTCGTTCAACCTTGTCCCATGATGTATAGTCGCGCGACCATCACTTAAAGTTTCAAACATGCTTGAAAATTTGCTGCAACTTCGCGGAGATTTTCCATCGCCGCAACAATCGCATGGGTGTTTAAACGTACGATTTTAGTTGTGCGATAGAAAAGTGGCGATTATCGGGATGCAAAAATCGCAAGTGTAAACGGGCCTTTGGTGAACAACTGCGGTCGTTGTACTAGAGGTGAATAGCGTTATCCATTGGGTAAATGTTTATCCATCGGATACTGAAAATCCTTAAAATAGATATAATGAGTGGATAACTTTATTCGGTGATTAACTCACAAGCAGTTCCTAGAAACAGAGGTTTTAATTTTGCAATACAGTCATCGTTTCGTACGGACATAAGCGCATGCTCACCGCATTGATAATTTTTCTTCAGACGTCCTACTTGTCAACCGCTACAAAAACTTCGAAAGACTGAAGAACTTTGACGTCAAAGTTGGTATCCATAGCGACCCGTCAAAGAACCCAACGTGCAATGACAGAATAGGGTCTGTAGGTCAAGGTCAAGGCCTTCGTGTGCAATGCAATCCACCAATCCCAGGACGCTTCGTGGCAGTACAGATGTACGGCAAAGGAATCCTGACATTATGTGAAGTTTCGGTTTACTCTCGTCTAGGTAATGCTGATAGGGAAGAAATTATTATTAAATAATATTAATCAGTATTAGCCAAACTATGGGCTATCACAAAACTAGCATGTTGATTGGCTACTGAACTATGGTCTATTCATGATAGAACAATATAAGCGAAAATTTTCAAAAAAAACTATGTCGATGAAAATTGGTCATTTTTCAAGTTTGCTCAATAGTTTGGGAGGTCGATCCCGGCTAAAAAGATTAGCCCACTCCGTAGATTATGACTTAGGGCGCTTTCCATTTGTCAGAACTGGCTGGCCAGACCCAGAAAAAAATATCATTATATATCATTCCTATTTAGTCGTGGAATTCAAATTTTCAAATTCTATCCATTTTCTATAGAAAACCTCGAAATGACTGAAAAATGTTGACAAAAAACATAATATACCTCTAAATAGAGCGGACTGGCCGGCCAGTTCTACCTAAATGGAAAGCACCCTTAATGTTCCATGAAGCTGTACACGACCACATGCACTCAACCTCTTGGTCAGATTATTAAAACTATTCAAATTGAAAAATTAGGAAGCTGTCCTTCAATCCTTCAGTTGAACTTCTGTTCTGTTCTTCCTATTCAAATTGATCGCGAGCAATAACGGTATCCAATAATTTTCCATATTTTCAGCCCCACTTGCTGATCTTTGTCAACTCGAAAACGGTAAATGTATGCACACATGCTACAACCTCTGCAACTTGAAGACCAAGTGCGGTTGCTATCCTGGCTATACGATGGCTTACGATGGCAAAACGTGTGTTGGTAAGGATCATATATATATATATATTTAGTATAAGCAATTGTGAAAAAAGAGGTGGGGAACTAGTGGTAAACTAGTGTGAGCTGCGTCGGTGTTTCTTTAAAAACAGTTGTGTAAAAAGATAAATTTAACACCGTAAAAAAGTATGTGAAATAACTTACTGACGTTTCGGACGTTAATCCTTCGTCGGAGTAAAAGGATTCACTTTTTTTTAAAGAAACTGCTGTGTAAAAAGGTTAATTTAACAATTTAAAAAAATAGGTTAAACACTCTTACTACAGTTGTTTGCTTCACTTGTTTTTTTACGGTGTTAAATTTATCTTTTTACATAAGGTAATTTTCACATAAGGTCAGTTTTATTCTAATATAATCTGTTTATTAATATCAAGATAACAACGAATGCCTAGTAAACAACGGCGGTTGTGATAGGGCTAAAAGTATCTGTTTAAATACTCCTGGAAGCTACATGTGCGCTTGCAAGGGAGGATATCAGGCCAAGGAGAACAATAAAAACATTTGCGAAGGTAAGTACAACGGAAGGATGGGTAGTCTGTGTACATCCGTTCCCACCCCTGAGGAACTTCCTAAAAAGCCATGTTTCGCCGGCATCCCTTTCAGGGGTGTATCCAGAAATTTTCAAAATGGCGCCCTCAACCTGAATTCGCACCTGCCTTTTAAGCTTTTGTTCAAGTTTAGAAATAAATTTAAAATACATTGTAATATAAGCATAAGCATACTCTTTATTATTCCTTTATTCTCCATCGATAGAAATATTATTGTAATATTGTAAGTTTCCATAGGGACTTAAACCGACGGATGGAAGTGGATATATTTGAAGTCTCTTTAAAATGTCAGATTTTATCTGGTGAGAAAATCAAGACACGAMCRYKCARCATGCCGGTTCGTAAAGGCCCGTTAGGATAGAACGGCGCSTCTACCTCAAATATAGATAAAAMAAGTTTTTWCCAAGGGGCGGTGGACAATTGGGAGGAATTTATGAACATTCATAAAATAAGATGGACTACTTTTTCTTTCGCAGACTTCAATGAATGCCACAAGCATAATGCAGGATGCGAACACATCTGTGAAAACACAGAGGGAAGCTTCAACTGTAATTGCTTGAAGGGTTACAAGCTGGAGAGCGATAAGTACGGATGCAAAGGTAACAATGACAATAATGATGATAATGATGATGATAATGATAATAATGATAATGATAATG